TTCCCTCCCAATCAGCTGGGATTCAGAAGGCAGAGAATAGATGGCCAGTCAGAGGTGGTATTTACCGGTTCTCTGAACTACTCAAAATTTCCGCTACTGGATCTCCAGAACTGGTCAGAACCTGCTGAATACCACCTCTGATGCTTATGCAGCTCTGGGGAAATGATATTTTCATTTTATCAGTTAAAATTTAAAGGCCTATTTGGTGGGTTGGAAGATCCGAAGAAGCTTCTTGGATGAGAAGTGAAACGCCTTCAAAGAAAAACCAGAAAGTTCACTTGCCTCTTGGGGGAAAGAAAAAAAACCACTTTTGGGACATTAGTAACTGTAGTTTAAACATACTTGGGAAAAACACATCCAACAAAAATTACAAGGAATAAAATAAAGTATTAAATAATTCCTGATAACTTACAACTCAGATGTTTATTGTCTACATCAAGGTTTCTCAACCGTGGCTACTTTAAGAGTTTTGGACTTCATCTCCCAGAATTTCCCAGCCAGCGTAGTACAGCTGACTGGGGAATTCTGGGAGTTGAAATCCACAGGGCTTTAAATTGGCCAAGGATGATATACGTTGGTCTATATTGTGTCTCCAGAATTTTGGAAAATAATTTTTCTTACTCTGTTTGCAGCGATTCATGGCTAAATTTAGGAACTTCAGCGTGTAGCCATATAGTAAAAGGAGATGATGTTAATTCCTATTATTTTTATTTTGTTGGGATGACATTTTTCATGGAGAAAGATTAAAAAAAAACAAAAAACTCTTGGCGCAACTTCATTTTCTGCTCCAAATTTTAATTACCTTTCTTTTTCCATTGTTATAACTTTCCATATTTTCAGCTTCTAATTGAATTATTGCTGGTTTTTGGGGGGTTTTCTTGGACAAGTGTTGAAATTGTGCTATTTTTGCCCATAATTCTGTCCTGCCTTACAGATTTTCGTTTGAGAAACCAATCGCCACAAATAATGAAGCATCTTCCAAATACAACAGAATAAAGGACATAAAACAAAGCAGGGGAGATTTGCTTGCAATTTATTTCCTTCTCATTTTCTGCAATGGTATTTAAATTTTAGAGGTGACAAAATAATCTCCTATATTTATGGCCGTGGAGAAAAAGCTAATTTGAAAATCCATACAGTAATTTACATCTTCTACAAGAAGAGTGTAATGGAATGCAGTCAGTTTTGAACACATCTAGGAATTAATGCTTTTTTTTCTGGCCAAAATCAAATATTTTTACACCCTTTCTATTATTATTATTAATTTTTTTTCACCAAGTGTGGATTTATGTATTAACAACTGAGATAAACAGATTCCTAAGACTGCAGTTTTATGCATTCTTCTGGGCCAACTGCATCTAATTAAAGTTAATAAGTTATGCAAATATATGAGCCCATGTAAATTGAGGTGCCTAATGCATCCTTGAGATATTTGGGAATGCACATCTCCAAAATGGAAACCTATCATTCATCAGAGGTTGGGACCCACCGTTGCTCACCGGTGCAGAAGCTCCAGTGAAATATGTAACACAATATGAACACAACAATGCATAACAATAGTAATAATAATTATCTATCTATCTATCTATCTATCTATCTATCTATCTATCTATCTATCTATCTATCTATCTATCTCTCTCTCTATCTATCTATCTATCTATCTATNTCTCTCTGTCTCTCTGTCTTTTTTCTCTCTCTCTTTCTCTCTCTCTCTCTTTCTCTCTCTCTTTCTCTCCTTCGCTCCCTCTGTCTTTCTGTCTTTTTCTCTCTTTTTTCTCTCTCTCCCTCTTTCTTTCTGTCTCCCATTCTCTCTCTCTCTCTTTCTTTCTCTCTTTCTCTCTCTCTGTCTTTGTGTCTCTCCTTCTCTCTTTTTCTCTCTCTCCCTCTTTCTCTCTGTCTCCCTTTCTCTCTCTCTGTCTTTCTCTCTCTCTCTCTGTCTCTTTCTTTCTCTCTTTCTCTCCTTCTCTCTCTCTCTGTCTTTCTGTCTCCTTTTCTCTCTCTTTTTTTCTCTCTCTCTCTTTTTCTTTCTGTCTCCCTTTCTCTCTGTCTTTCTCTGTCTTTCTTTCTCTCTTTCTCTCCTTCTCTCTCTCTTTCTTTGTGTCTCTCTTTCTCTCTTTTTTTCTCTCTCTCCCTCTTTCTCTCTGTTTTCTTTTTTCTCTCTCTGTCTTTCTCTCTCTCTCTCTCTATTTGTCTCTCTCTGTTTCTCTCTTTCTCTCTTTCTTTCTCTCTTTCTCTTCTTCTCTCTCTGTCTTTCTGTCTCCTTTTCTCTCTCTTTTTTTCTCTCTCTCCCTCTTTCTTTCTGTCTCCCTTTCTCTCTGTCTTTCTCTCTCTCTCTTCCCCCTCCTCCGTTCCACAAAACCCACACCCTTTTAATCCTGATGATATGGATCATGAAACCTTTGCAACAAAACAAGCAAACTCAGAGAGCCTCCAGGCCCCCTCATTTCAATCCTGAGCTGTAAATATTCTCCTTCATTTAACGCTAAGATGAAATTTCTCGAAGTCCTTGTTACAGGAATGAGTCTCGATTTAAGATTTAGAAGCCAAGGAAGATTAGGAGGGCCGGTTCATTTCATTCCTCCCTGCCTCCCAGTTTGCTTCCCATTTGCTCACAAGAAATCCAATCAATCAATCAATCAATCAATCAGAATAGAGCTTTAAGGAACCCTAGAGGTCTTCTAGTCCAACCCCCTGTCCAAAAGTTCCCTTCTGTTTTGCTTTTTAGAATATTTTAATACTTTCAGAAAACCAGAGGAACGACAGTGGGTGGGGCAGAGAACCTAACACCGCCCTCCCAATAAATTTATGGAAATGGAATTTATACTTATGCACAGAATTTACATAATTCTTAATCAGTGCTTCAGGTTTCTTGAAAAATCTAATTTGGGTTATCTCCAGTGGAGGGACCCTGAATTATTAAACTTCATTATCGTCCCGCTTTGCATATTCAAAGTATGGCATATCCTACACGTCCCCGAAACAATTTGAGTCTAATAAATTGTTGGTCTCGTTTATTTCCACTGAATAGAGTCTACAAATAGATATTTTTTTTGCCCTGATTGGGAATAATGAACGTCATGTGCAGATAAAAGTGATTTCTTTAATCTATTTTTTTTTTAAGTTCAGCTGGCTGTTTTGAAAAAAAAATATCCATCTCAACCTTGTCACTGAGTTGGCAGGAAGTATTAAGCCCTCCTTGATGGCTGGTTATGTTATTTATTTAAACCAAATGTAGTTTGCAAGTCTCTCCAAACTCTGTTATTCTGCCTAACTTCCTCTACTTCCATTGTTGTTGTAAGTTGTGAAGACGATGACTTCGCAACTAACCCCATGGACAACCTTCCTCCAGGCCTTCCTGTCCTCTACCATCCTCTGGAGTCCATTGAAGCTCAGGCTGACTGCTTCGGTGACTCCATCCANAAAGAAAGAAAAAGAGAAAGAAAGAAAGAAAAAAGAAGAAGGAAGGAGAAGGAATGAAGGAAGAGAAAAGAGGGAAGGAAGGAAGGAAAAAGAAAGAGGGAGGGAACAAGTAGAAAGGAAGGGAAGAAAGAGAAGAGAGGGAAGGAAGGAAGAACAAAAAGGAAGAAAGAAAAAGGAAGGAAGAGAAAGGAGTGAAAGAAAGAGAAAAAGACAGAAAAAGAAAGAAAAAGGAAGGAAGGAGAAGGAATGAAGAGAAGAGAGAGGGAAGGAAGGAAGAAGAAAGAGGGAGGGAGCAGAAAGGAAGAAAGAGAAGAGAGAGAAGAAAGGAAGAACAATAGAAAGGAAGGAAGAAAAAGAAAGGAAGGAAGAGAAAGGAATGAAAGAAAAAAGAAAGGAAGGGAGAAAAAGAAAGAAGGAAGGAAGGAAAAGCACAGCTCCTTGGTTTTCGAGGGTCCCAGAAAATTCTTAGGGGACCCTGAGGACACACCCAGGCTTCCTTTTATCCACTGATTGATTTAAATGCTTTATATAGTTGCCCATCTCACCACAGTGTAGCCAAAAGCATCAGGTGCAGGGAATCAAGAACAACACAAGTATGACAGGGCAGTTTCTTCATTGTTGCTTGCCTGGAGACAGGAATCTTGCCAGACTAAAGCACAAATCTGCATAACTGTTAGACATACCAGCTAAGAGGTTACGGAGGGTCTAGTTCTCTCCCTGCATATCAAAGATTCCATGCTGGGCTTCATCTTTGCTCCGTGGGGAAGTTCCCATCACTCCTGGAACTCTGGTCATAATTTCACCACACTAACCCTACCTGTTGCCTCCTCTTCCCCTACCTGTTGCCTCCCCATACTTTCATCCCGCGCCCTCTTTTCCCTTTCCTAATTCTCCTCCTCTCTCCTGTTTTCTGCTCCTGCCACCTCTTCTCTTTCTACCTGCTCCTCTCTCCTTTTGGCTGACGCTTCCCAACTCAACATTGTCTTTCCAAGCTTTACTGCATGATAGCCGCACTATGCTTTNTCCACCCCCCTTTCGTTCCTCTTTTCTTTCCTCTGGGAGGGGCCATTCACCATCCACCTGTGGCCTTACTCCCAAGTCGACCCCTGTTCTTTAGCAGTTCCCTTCGTCTGGCAACTCTGCGCATGCGCACACTGGGAAGAGGCTCCAGCTGTTCTTCTGCCTCACTGATGTCTGACTCCGAAGGCAGCTGATAACTGGCATACGGCTCTAGCCCCCTCTCTGCTTCTGCCACAGAGCCCTCATCAGAGCCTTCCCCAGACTCCAGGACTGGCCCAGGTTCCTCCCCAACCTCTTCACTGTCCGAATCTGTTGGCCGCTGGCAGGCCACAACATGAAGCTCAGAATGTGATGTACCAAAAGGGCTTCGGATCTTGTCCAACTTTGTGGTTACTGAGACAGGCGTTGGCTAAATAGAAATGAGATTTTTTTTGGGGGGGGGGTGAATTTCCTGGTGGGTTTACGAAGAAGCCTCCTTTGAGCCTTCAGGAGTCCCTAACAAAGGACTTTGAGGAAGTTCTGGCCTTTTTCTATCCGCTTATCTTTTCCTTTCAGGTACATCCAGGGAGCAGCCTCGCCCAAAGACATGCTGATTCTCGTGGATGCGTAAGTGCCCCAAAGGTTAAGCGTTCAGACAGAGGACTGTAAAGTATTCTTTTTTTTTTTTTTTTTACAGCAGTGGCGATGAAGGTGTTTAAAAATGGGAAGGCTGTTTTTAGAGACGCCCCTCTCGTGAGACGGGCGGCCGTATCAATAGGATGAATATATAAATGACATTCGCTTTGATAACCTTTTGAAATGCAACAGGATGGGGGGAAAAAACCTAGCATTGGTCAGCTGCTCTTCCTTGTGAAAGAAAGGGGTTGAAATCCCAAAGCAGAGTCTAAGGATGTGAATTTTAAAGGAGGAACGACAAGAGAGGGAGGGAAGGAAGGGGACAGACTGGGAAGGGAGGGTAGGGAGGTAGAGGGGGGGAAAGGAAGGAAGGAAAGAAGAGGACAGACTGGCAAGGGAGGGAAGAAGGAGGGTAGGGAGGGAAAGGGGAAGAGGGAAGGAAGGATACAGACTGGGGAGCGAGGTAGGGAAGAAGGAAGGAAGGAGGAAGGAAGGAAGGAGAGGGACTGGGGAAGAAGGAAGGAGGAAGGAAGGAAGGAAGGAGAGAAACTGGGGAGGGAGGGAAGGAAGGAGGGAAGGAGACAGACTGGGCAAGGAGGGAAGGAAGAAGGAGGGGAGGGAGGGAGATGCGAACAAGGAAGGAAAGAGAGAGAGAGACTGGGGAAGAAGGAAGGAAGGAGGAAGGAGGGAGACTGGGGAGGGAGGGAAGGAAGGAAGAAGGAAGGGAGGGAGGGAGGAAGAAAGGAAGGAAGGAGACAGATTGTGGAGGGCAGGAAGGAAGAAGGAGGGGAGGGAGGGAGAGAGAGGGGAAGAAGGAAGGAAGGAGGAAGGAAGGAAGGAGAGAGACTGGGGAAGAAGGAAGGAAGGAAGGAGAGAGACTGGGAAGGGAGGGAAGGAAGAGGGAAGGGAGGGAGGAAGAAAGGAAGGAAGGAGACAGACTGGGGAGGGAGGGAAGGAAGAAGGAGGGGAGGGAGGGGGAGAGAGGGAAGAAGGAAGGAAGGAGGAAGGAAGGAAGGAGAGAGACGGGAGGGAGGGAAGAAGGGAAGGGAGGAAGATGGAGGGAGGGAGGGACAGAAGGCGGGAAGGGAATGGGTTAAGCAGGGGGTTGGACTAAAAGACCAAAATTCAAAGTTACAACGATACTGAAAAAAAGTGACACAACCATTGTTCACACATACACAACCATTGCATCATCCCCATGCTCAGGTGATCAAAACTCACGTCCTTGGCAGCTGGCTCATACTTATGACCATTCCTGTGGCCCAGGGTCATGTGATCCCCTTCTGCGACCTTCTGCGAGGCGAAGTCAATGGGGAAACCAGGTTCACTTAACAACGGTGTTACTCATTTAACAACTGCAACGATTCAGTTCACCAACATGGCAAGACAAGTCGCAAACGTGGGGCAAAACTCACTTCACACATTTCTCACTTAGCAATACAAATTTTTGGGCTCTATTGTGGCCATAAACCGAGAACTACCTGCATTGGAGAAAAGGCATCATGTCTTGTGAACAAAATCACCTTAACCGGAACTTAATGGATGGTCCTGATTCTTTGTGCCTGATATTAATCTCGTCAACTGACAGTTCGGCACTAAATTGGCACTATATAAAATCCCAAGAAATTCAGGAGGGACTTAGACCATTGGTGGGAACGTAATGATTCTAGGCTAATGACTTACTTGACTCCACCTCCCAGGCTCTGCCGGCTCTTCTGATGCAAAGACATATCTCTAAATTAATATAAATGGATAAAAATAACCTATTTTTTTTTAAAAAAAAAACATTGCCATGTTATACACACAAAAGCAACTCCTGCATCGTGTAATTCAGAAGCTTCGTCAAATTCTCTCTTGGCAAGCAGCGCGTAGTAGATGTGAAGAGCTAAATTTATTCCCAAGACAAATAGGCAAGAACTCAAGATCACCGATTTCAACTGGCCCATTGGGTCAACTCGCAAAGCATCATCCCTGGCCTGCTCTCGAGTTGCCATGGGTAGGAGGGGGAGAAAACGGGCAGAGCGTCATGGCAGCCACAACCAGAACACATACCTTTCCCAAGGCTGTATCCCAGGTTGCCTGCAACAGCCGGAGGGGCGTGGCCTCCACAGCCTGTGAAAGTGCTGTGGTTGGAGAATGTGATTTATGGCACACCCTGGGATGGAGGGGCGAAACAGGGTCATAGTTGGGCCGTAAATTATGTGGGATCAGAGCTGGCTTCACTTGGGTGCCTGCCGACATGTTGCTCCTGATCAGTGACTGGATTTCTTTGGAAGCTTGGCTCAAGCCTTGCTTGTATAAGGCCGGAGTGACGCATGAGCTGACCACTGATGTCCACTGGGGGCTATTGAATGGTTTCTTCTCCTTGGTAGGAGTGGGAGCGTCAGTGGGCTGACTCTGAAGTTGATCCGAACGTCCGTCATTGAAATGTTGGAAACCTTGTCGGACGATGACTTTGTGAATGTGGTTTCGGTGAGTACCCCCCTCTCTTTTTTTTTTGTCCCCCCCCCTCCCCCTGAAGTTGGGGGACTGGTCTAAAGAAGATTCAGGTGATGATTCCCCCATAGAAAAACATGTGGAGAATTTTAGGTTGTTACTTGTCCTTTTGGTCTTGATTTATAGGGCTGAAATTCTTAAAATACTTAAATGCTTGGACTCAAAAAGTAGAAGCTCTCAGAGATCAAAGAGCAAATAGAAGACCAAGGAAGCAACAATGGGCTCAGGGCAGATCAAAATGCATCTTCATATGATACAAATCTCCTACTCTGTCCTTCCTCCCTTCCTCCTTTCCTTTCCTTTCCTTCTTTCCTTCCTTCCTTCCTTTCTTCCTTCCTTTCCTTTTCTTTCCTCCTTCCTTTCCTTCCTTCCTTCCTGCCTGCCTTCCTGCCTGCCTGCCTTCCCTCCTTCTTTCTTTTCCCTTCCTTCCATTCTTCCTTCCTTTCCTTTTCTTTCCTTCTTCCTTTCCTTCCTTCCTGCCTGCCTGCCTTCCCTCCTTCTTTCCTTTCCCTTCCTTCCTTCCTTCCTTCTTTCCATTCTTCCTTCCTTTCCTTTTCTTTCCTCCTTCCATCTTTCCTTTCCTTCCTTCCTTCCTGCCTGCCTTCCCTCCTTCTTTCCTTTCCTTCCTTCCTTCCATTCTTCCTTTCCTTTCCTTCCTTTCCTTTCCTTCCTTCCTTCCTTCCTTCCTTCCTTCCTTCCATTCTTCTTTCCTTTCTGCCTTCCTGCCTGCCTGCTTTCCCTCATTCATTCCTTTCCCTTCCTTTCTTCCATTCTTTCCTTTCCTTCCTTCCTTCCTGCCTGACTTCCTTCCTGCCTGCCTTCCCTCCTTCTTTCCTTTCCCTTCCTTCCTTCCTTCCTTCCTTCCTTCCTTCCTTCCTTCCATTCTTCCTTTCCTTCCTTTCCTTCCTTCCTTCTTTTCCTTCCTTCCTTCCTTCCATTCTTCCTTTCCTTCCTTTCCTTCCTTCCTTCTTTTCCTTCCTTCCTTCCTTCCATTCTTCCTTTCCTTCCTTTCCTTCCTTCCTTCTTTTCCTTCCTTCCTTCCTTCCATTCTTCCTTTCCTTCCTTTCCTTCCTTCCTTCTTTTCCTTCCTTCCTTCCTTCCATT